ATATATATATATAAACACACGCGTGCGCGCTCGCAAACACGACTTAATGCAAATCCAACCAATCAACCTCTAACTCATCAATTAAGTGGTCCTTGGTTCTGATAAAGAAATGAAAATGAATATTACGAGAAATGAATTTTCATACCCTAAATAACCTGAAAGAAATTTTGGGCTTCTGATGGAATGGACATTATATTATATTAATCAGACAGCTTCTTTGCTTTTCATTCTGATTAATCTATGTTTGGTACCTTTACTAAACACCTTTAAAAACATCTCCAACAGATTATCCAAAATAAAGATTTTGAGTATTTTTGCTCCAACAAAATTTACAAAACCTTTTCCAAAACCGAGAAAATAGAAGAGATGGGGTAGGAATCTAGAAATCTAGAGAACTCTCTAGAAAACGATCGCTTGAAAAAAAAAACTGATATTTTATTTTTTGAGAATCTTTGAAATTAAATGTTGAGGAGAGAGAAAAATAATAGTTTATGAATTATATTGAATATTTTAATAATATAATTAATATTATGATATAAGTATTGGAAAAAAAAATGGTTGAAGATTTTTTTTTTTTTGAGATTTTGACTTTTAATTTTTTTTATTTGAGGAATCTAGTGAGAATATGTTTACCAACTAGCTTTGTCAAACATTGTCATAGTTAGGGTATAAACGAGTCGAATCGAGTACCATGTTATTTGAGCTTAGCTCGAAAAGATAATATGTGCTCGAGTTCTTTGAGCCCGATTAAGTTTTTCAAAATCGGGTTCGAGCTCAAGCTATAATATTTTTTCAATGTTTCTGCTCGAGCTTGATGCTCGTTTGTAGCTCAAATCCGAGAGCGTTTAACTTGTTTATTTGCTCATGTTCGATAATTTTTATATTTTGATTATATAATTTGTAAGTATATATATATATATATATATGTTTAGCTTGAAAAAAAATATATGCTCGAATGACTTAGCTCGACTCAATCATAAAGTTTAAGCGAGCTCTCAAACAAACTGAATCGATTGATGTTACGAAACTCAACTCGTTAGATTAATCGAGCATTATTTCGTGTTCAAGATCAACTCGAACTCGATAATTATCAAGTCCGAGCTCAAGTAGCTCCACTTTTTGGTTCATCCATTTTAATAAAAAAAAATCAAATTTATTTATTTATTTATTTATTTATTTATTTATTCTCACCTTATCTTAAACTAAAAAAAAAAGAATTTAAATTAAAACAAAATATTAAATGGAAATTATATTTCCTTTAATAAAAAGGAATTTGTCTCCTCCAATCTGGTTTTCTTGTTACTGTCATGCATTTGCTTCCTACCAATAAATACACCACTCCCCATACCAATATCTCTTCACCCACCCTTCTGTCCCCTCCTCAAATTCTCAACCACCACCGTCGCCACCGCAACCGCCACCGTCCCACTGAAACCACCACCACCACCACCGTCCCACTGAAACCACCATCACCACCACCTCCACCTCAAAACACCCATCTCTCCATTCACTTATAATCTTCATCTTTATCACAACTACAATCTTTCTTTAAAGCTATAGAAAATGGTGGTTTTGTGCCACCACTAACCACCCTAAAACCACCGTATCGCCACCCAAATCTGCCGTAGACCACCACCAGAAAAAAACTCATCTTAATCTTTATAGCCAAAGATGCACTCTTTTTGAAGTTTTGGATAATGGGTTTTTGTGTGATCACCATTAAACCTACCCAACCCTCCTAAACCACCGCACCACCACCACCGCCACCATCGTTTCCGATAAATAATGGGGTGTTTCGTAAGCACCAATAAAACTTCCCAATCTTCCAAATTCCACCAACATTCATCAAGATCAAGCCGAGCTCCGCCGCCGGTGGACGTGGAGACGGTGAAAGAAGTTCTTTCTGAAACTCCAAATCCAAACCCTTTCATGAAAATGGAAAATGACCCGAAAAAGATCCGACAAGATCACAATGTTCTCGAAGATCCGAATATCTCCGAGATCGGTAGCAACATGAGCGAGTGTGTTTCCACCGCCACATTAGACGATGACATTGATGTTTACCGCCGGAAAGTGATTGACCGATCGCCGTCGAAGTCAAGAAACCGACATCAGCTCTCCGGCGAGCTTCAGCCGGTACGAAAATCTCCGGCGAGAGCCAAAGAACAGTCTCCGAGTCGGGTCAAATTGGTACCCGAAAGAAACAACCGTGGAAACGGGTTTGGTTCCGCCGGCCGCCAGCGACCGGGGTCCGGCAATGTATCGGCGGCACGATCGAGGTCTCCGGCGAACCGTACGGTGGCCGGAGGTGATTCTGGTGGTAGGAATGAGATTGGAAGAAGCTTATCTTGTAGAAGAACCGGGAAGTCTCCAGGTCGGGTGGTATCCGATTTGAATGAGAGGGTTCGAAAACCTGATTTTCGTTCGGGTCGGGTGAGAGAAGAAGGTAGCTGGCCTCCGACAGCTACAAACAACGATGAATTACTTGAAAACCCGCTTGTGTCCTTGGAGTGTTTTATTTTTCTTTAGTAAAAGAGGTTAGGAATTGTAATTCTATTAATGTTTTAAGGGTAATATAGTAATTTTAGTTTAATACTCCATTTTCCGACAAAATTAAATTCTGATATTTATTATCCTGTTAAAATAATAAATCTATACACTTGCAGACACCATATTATATATTTATATTATATTATAAAATATTTGTCAAAAAAATTTAGAAAACTTTNTTATTTAGTAAATACAAAAAATATATAATAATATTTTTATTATGTCTCAAGTATAATTAATTTATCTAAAATAGATACAAAACTCAAAAAAAAATGCATTCAACTCAAGCTTCTGTATTTTAAAAATTACAACAATAATATATTATTAAAGTATTTAATACATTTAATACATAAACGAGAAGTCCACATTTTGGCCGAATCTTCTTCCTGGTACGACACAACCGACAGAACCCGAAGCGCCCTTTCTTTCCAAACTTTGAAACAACGAAACGAGTAATTTCCAGCAAACTTTATATAAAATGGTAATTTCCAACGATTTATTTGTAAAACAGTAAGTTCCAACAAACTTTTTATAATATTATAATATTCAAACTTTTTTTTATATACACACGACAACATACATTTTTGAGTTACTAGGGCTATGTTTAGCAAACTGATAGATAAGTTAACTGGCGACTGGTAAACTAGCTGATAGATGATAAGCTAGTTGATGAACAAATTATGTCTGACAAAAACTAACTTATAAACATGTAAGATGATCAAAAAAGACATCTTGAAAAACCAGTCAATTATCCCTTTCAAATTTTTTTAGCCAATTATAATATTTCGTAATAAAATTAAAGCAAATCTCTAATAATATAATATGTTAATTAGTAAAAAGAAGATTGTAACAAAATTAAATAATATAATATGTTAATTAAAAGAATTTCAAATTAATTATTCTCTCTCTATATATATAGTATAGATAAATTTCAGATTTATTAAAACAAATTTATATATTTATATATAGTATTGAAATGGGTAGAGCTTATTGAAGCTTTAGTTGTTGCAAAGTATAATTGTACCTTGGTTTGGCCAGGTATGTATACAAATTCTGTTCATTGTCAACATTTGAATTGAATCATGACAAAATTTAGAACAAAATTTGTCATTAAGTTTTTGTGTGAATGTTGTAGATTCATTTTCTTGGCTTTTGACATTTGTTTTTTTTCTATTGGATGGTTCTTTGGAGACCCTTTCTTTTAAGTGAATTTTGTGCCATTTAACCCTAAATTTTCTAATCTAATACTTTTCTTCCATCCAACTTGAGACTGCAGTTGAATTATTTGAATCATGGTTCAAAGTGAATTGCATAGTAATTATATATATATATATATATATATATATAGAGAGAGAGAGAGAGAGAGAGAGAGGGGGGGGGAGTGAGCTATTATGCGACCCTTTACATTTGTATAACTAATACAACTCAATCTCAACCGTCTATTTAATTTGATGAATATGTGATTTCATAGAAGTTTTAATTGTTACCTAGTATAAAACATTGATCATAATTAATGAATCTTAGTCATCTTCTATAAGTATTCAAATTATAATAAATGAACTCTTATTATTTCTATAAATATCTCAAGTAATTGGGTTGCATTGGTTATACAAATATAATGAGTTGCATTTGAAATGTCCTCTTTTTATATGTATAAAATAAGAAATAATTATTTTGATTAAATTAGTATTGTCCACTGGTAATAAGTAATTAAAGTCTTTTTCTGTATTAGAGTTTTTGACTTTTAGGGAGGAGATGTCAATGCTTCATCTTATTCAATTTCAGTTATTCAATTCAATCTTGTAATTAATTAATTAAATAATTTGTTTGTTTTTATTTATTTATTTATTTCTCTTATGATTGTTGTGGATATAACTTAAAAAAGTCCAAACTGCATATGTGGTTTGGCTTTGTAGTTTTGCGTATAACTTGCATTGCATCATGAACATACCTAGTATTTTTTGAGGCCGTCTCAGACTATGTCTGAACTAATTCCGACAAATTATGACTACGAGAAATTAGCCCTGATAAATTCAGTGGCTGGAACTGTTGTGTACACATAGAATTGAGTTCTAGATAGATGAGATATTTCAACACATCCACAAGATCTCAGCCATTACAACACGCCTAGTTTTCATATTGTGATTTTTCTTTTTGACGGCAAATACTTTTGAAAATATTTAGACCTTTTAAACATATTTGGTGATTATTAAAACATAAATTTCGAATTTAAATAAGGGATTGCAATAACTTTTATTTTTGATTTATAATAAAATTTGAATATTCCTGTAACAATATTATTATATATAAACAAATTTGGGATTTATGACCTGATAAATTATTATAGACCAATCTCGATTTTTCGTGTGTTTTAACATATTTTAAACATTCCAGTCATTTAAACCAAGCAAAATTCACTACAATTTTGAAATTACACCTGACCTCCGATCACTTCAATTAACGTGTATATCATTCGTTCTTGTTCCTTGCAAACATTAAATCTAGGAGTATTTTGGTCATTTTGTTTTTTCTGTAAAAAAGTTAGTGTAAGCATTTAAAAAAAAAGACAAAAACAAGCATTTAAAGTCATGAAATAAATAGAAGGGATTCCTTAAATTGCTGTTTAAATTCATGAAGCATTAAATCTGTAGTTCTTTCACTTGAGATCATGGAGTTTGTTATGTGTGAGTGACATACTTTGACCCCGTTTCTAATCATTTCGAAAGTTGGTGACGTGAATATGTTATCTACACATGGTAGGCAAAATTTGCCACTCTTGTACGTCGAAAGTGAGGTTTATGGCCCCTTGATAGATTGATTCCGAGGAACGCATGCATGCTGAAATTATCAAAAAAATCAGTATTCATTTTTTGAGTATAATCGGGATTCAAGAACTAGTGATACAAGATAGGATATAAACGGGGATGACATATTAAGAACAAAGGGACACGGCATGTAGAATGATAACGATCAGGAGGTAGATGAATGGTCTTGTCATTTAGGTAACAATAATATATTATTAGATGTAATTATTCATTTAAGACAACATCCTAATAAATCACACATGTAATACATATTTGAATAGGTTAAAATAATTATAGTWTTTAATTATTAAATCTAAATTAAATTATAACAAAATTTTAAATTAAAAAATTACAATTTTTTTTAAATAGTTAATTTGATACTGATACCGGTATTTTTTTTAATTTTTTATGATATCTTAAAATCTATATTTTATTCAAAATTAAAATATTATCGTTTTCATACATAAAACCGTATTATATCGACAGAGATAAAGAATAAAATAAAACATTAAAACCGAGATATATCTTGCTGCATTGCACGAATACCCTTCTAGTATGTGTGTGTATAGGCAAAGTATCGTGTGAGAAAGTATGTTATGCTAAAATGCGTAATAAGATATTTGAACCCTTAACCACTTTTAATCTTATGCACACTTATGAATTAGACTTTAAAAATGAATTGATCTGATACATCTTAATACACCACGAGACACCTTATTAATGTTGACATTCAATTATGATTGATTCAACAATCGAGATCTTTTCTTACCCATTTAACTATAATTTATTTTCTTATTGGGAATCCAACCCCATACATATTAAAATTATGTTGTTTAAAATAATATATTAAATATAGTTAAATAATAATTGAAGATTAATTATTGAAATATTTAATTGATTTAAAACAACATAAATTTCTTGAAATGGTACAATATTTTTACTTTTTTTTATATTAATTGATTTGTTCATTTAATTTAATTATAAAATCAAGAGTATATTAAATGATTAATTTATAATAGATTTTATTAATGCAATTAAATGTTGAATTTTTTAAATAAAGAATCTGTTAAAGTTATATTTAATATTTTATTTTAAAAATTATTAATTAAAAAAATTAGGTCGAGAAGCTATTAAGAGCATATTTTAACAGATTCTCTAATGATCACCTGGTGACCCCGTGCCGATTTAGATTTCCCGTCTTAAGCCCCTCTGAATCAGTAAACTCTCAATTCAACTTTTATTTTCTCTCTGACTGTCAACTTGCTTGAGCACTTAACATTATGCGCTATTATTTGAATCCGAACAACGGGAGAGCCGCCCCCACCAGGCATGCCATTCTGACACGTGGGAAGGGCTTATGGGTTGTTTGTTTACCTCTTAATAGTCTCATTAAGAGGCAACATCTGAATCGTTAATATGTAAATCTTGTTTGGCAGAAAAAAGTTTGCCTCTTAATTATTCTAAAACCATCTGAATGATTTTGTATCCTAGGTCTTCCTTAACCATTCAACGCCCTAATTTTATTATAAACAATTACCAAACAATTATATTTCTTTTTGCACTATATCATGAGAGCCTCTTAATCATTCTGACCACTTAATCATTCTGCACCAGATCATTCAGTAATTGTCAAACAACCCATTACTATGAATTTCATTCCACTTATCTATCCCGGCCTAGAAAAGTGAAGAAATATTTATTTTATTTTATTTCATTAATAAAAAAATCTTGAAAGTAAATGCTTAAGAGAAAAAAAATAATATTTTATTAAATATATGTAATATTTAAATAATATAATGAATATTATAATATTTAAAATAACAAATTTTTAAGGATTTTAATTTTAATTCTTTTTTAAAATTTTAATTTTTTTTGTTAAAAATGCTATAAAATATGTTAGGATGCATTTTTCCATTCTTGTATTCAGACGAATGTATATGATTTGCAGACGTGGCTGAACAAATAATTTGGAACAGACGCTTTTTTCTGAATCTGTGATTCTTATGAGTATGAGATCTAAAAGTCAGAAAAAACTCTAAATTTTTAAAAAATTAAATTATTTTTAAAACTAGTTTTTTTCTTTATTTATTTTTAGGAATGTTATTTGCACCTCATTTAATGTCAGAATCAGATCAATTCATACATTGAAAATGTAAAAAACATGTATTAATGTTG